ACCTTTAAATGCTGGAATACCAAAGCAAATCAGGTGTGCTTAAATGTATTATGGTCAGATGAAACCATAAAGGATCCTACTATGTAGTGGTCTGCTTTAAAAAAATGAGATGCCAGTGCTTTCTGAACTTGCTGCTAAACTTATGTCAATTCCTGCTTTGTTAGCAGCAGCAGAAAGAAATTGGAGCCATTTTGGCTTTGTTCATAGGCTACCTGATGATAGAGTTTAAGTTAATTTACATATATTCAAATTTTGAATGACAAGGCCACAAATCATAATATAATTTGAGATGTAAATATTGATTGAGGAAATGAAAATGGAATGATGAAAGTGAAATTGAGAATGAATATTGGGATGTATATGATGATTTTGATGATTTTGATGAATAATTTGGTTTTTTTGAATTTTTAGATTCACAGATCTTTCCATTTTTATACTTCGTGCAAAGCACTGATAGCAAGAGATTGAAAACGAAATTCCAGTCTACAAATTTGTTTTGGAAAGGTAATTTCCGGAACAAATACCCAGAGTTGGCGAATTTTACGCAATGCTACTAGACCAGGTCTACAACAATGGGGCTTTCTGGAACTACCACGAATAACTTCTGTTATTTTGTTTAATAAGAATGAAAAGTTAAATCATCTACTTATTGTACATCAGGATCTTTTTACCAGAAAAGGTCTACCTTGATTATTAAGAGGATTCAGATAAAAATCATCTGATCAAAGTAGTCCGTCTGTGTGAAAGTTCTTGTCATAGTTCATCGTTTTAGGAGGAAAAGTGATTATGGCAATAATTACGGATTCTTATCAATAAACATAAAATGTCTATATATTAATATGCCATTTGACTTAAAGAGTTCAAATAGTTACGGAAAGTTGATTATGGCAATATTATTCGTTTAGAATATTCAATGAGTTAATTATTGAATTTATACTTTTCCAATACAGTATTGTTGTTTATAACATCTCAACACTGACTGGTTCAGTCCAAACCGGCTGAACTGCGGTTTGGTTTTGCGCATTTCAAGTCGTGCGTGGTTTAATCAGTTTGTTACACTAAAAATTTGTAACAGAAGAATTCAATATAATAATTGAATCCATACCATATGTAGCCCTAGGTTTTGATAAACATGTGTAAATTGAATGCGGGTAATAATAATTTAATAACTACAATTGTTATCTATAATTGTGCAAATATTCTTGAGAATACTTGATTTTTTTTAATGTGTATTTTTGAGTAATTAATATCAATTTCTAAACTTTATCCAGTAACACAATAAACTATATTATTATGACAATAAAATTATTTCAAATTTATTATTTGTGGCAATAGAAACATTAAATTTTACAAACAAATCGGAATGCATTGATGATTTTGATGAATAATTTGGTTTTTTTGAATTTTTTAGATTCACAGATCTTTCCATTTTTATACTTCGTGCTACGTATGACTTATATCTGTTGTATTGTTAAAATTTATAACATTACTAAAAATATTGTTAATTTATTTCATCTTGATGGTAACTTTAGAGTAATTAAAAACTCTGTAGAAAAACAAGTGTAGTTTGTGTGGATCATGTTATAGATGTGGTGAAAAGATATGGTACTGCTGTATTGAATACAACTCAATGTTATGAAGGTGGAAAGACTTCCAATACTTGGGCATCAAACGTGGTGTGTGTTGTCAAAACTCAAGAGGTTGCTAGTGGACCTTTTGCTGAATTCAATTATTGAAAATTAGGATTCCTGAAAGCATTAAAGAAATTAAATAAGACTTAATTAGTGAGCTAATTATTATTGGTGGTACTTGGAAAGGTAAAACAGATGCCATCACTGGAAGCATTAAAAGAGGTTGGACCAAAAAGAGAAAAAATAGCCAAAACCTTTGGTTTATTTCAACA